AATTAAAGTTAATTGTGTCAAATTAACGAGAAACTTACTTATAATTTTAAGTGAAAATAAACTTGGAAACATTTGATAACAATTAACTTTTGATACGGATATATTTTCATGCTATTAATTAGATAAAGTAATCATGAAATTGATTTTAAATTAATTTCTACTAATTGTTGATGATTGTGATTTTAAATCACTAGACAATTTGATTGAATCTCAGTTTACATTTAATTCAATTGTTAATAAGCTATTATTTGAGTCTCTAATTAACAGTTTATGCTCAACATATAATCAAAGTTAATTTAATACTTTTAATTTGATTACTTGTAACTACTTTTAATGTCTAGATCATGTTGTTCCCTTGATTGTTCAGTTTAAATTGTTTTACTTTTACTTGATTAAGTTTTTTTTTATATATAAATTATACCCAACAATCCTGATTAGTACATTGTTTTCAATGTAATAATACATTAATTGTATTTTTTTCCCTGGATTCAAGACTGAACATGTTACTCTGATTATCTGATTATGAATGAAATTACATTGTCTTAATCTTGATAAACTTTTATTAACCTTGTTAGTTGTTACAATAGTAACAATTGTTAATACTATTGTAGTTGCTGATGATGATTACATTGTAAAAACCTTTGCCAACGATCCCAATTTACTTTTTAATTACAACTGTCACCGTTGATTGTTAAATTAACTTGGTGTTTTAATTATGTCTCATCAATTAGCATCTTAACTAACTTATTATTACTACCAAATAATTAACTTGTTTATCTTCATGATGGATTGATTATCATGTACAGAGTAACAAGTCGACTTTACCTGAATTCTGCCATAGGAATTGAATATTGAGTTCTCTCTCTCTCTCTCTCTCTCTCTCTCTCAAAATATCTGAATTTGCAACATGATTTTTTTCAATTTCATCAGGTATATATTCAATCATCCAAAGGTATATATCACTTGAAAGCCTTTTTTATCATCACGTTTCTCACTCACTCTTCATTGACTTACATCCAATGAACCATTCAGGTTATAATACAACCACAATTGTATTTATTGTTGTTGTATTTTCATCAAAATGAACATTAAATTGAGTTGCAATGATCAATTTACTGTTAACAGCAAACACTTTTTTATTATTAATCCAAACAATTGATAATTTAATCAACAATAACACAAAAGTATTCAAATAACCTGAGGCGATATTTAATCAACCTGAACTTTAACCATATTACACTTGAAACATCATCTCTAATTAGCATATATATTTATATTTTGATTATATTCAATGGTAATTTTTTGATTGACCTCTAAAATTATCAGCTATTAATCATGATGACCTCTATTGAAATTGAATACAATTGATGAAAATTTAACTTGATTACCGTTATTATATTTGCAAGAAACAATAATTTTGTTTGACAATAGTGTTTACATATGATGAATGATTTAACTATTTTTCTGGCTTAATGATTGATTAACAAAACAATTGTTGGAGATTTTCAATTGTTATTAATCAAATTGAAGCTGGACAATTGGCCAATGGTCATGAAAATAAATTAATTCATTTGTAACCATCACCTTATCGTTGATTGTAAATTAAATCAATCAAATGTATTGTTTTGATTGAATTTACAATGAAATCAACTGATTGTCATTTCTCGTTAAAATTGTTGCCTTGATTGATTTGATTTCCTTTCTATATGGAACATATTGCTTTTAATTAAAAACAATTGTCATGATTAATTTGTTAATTGTTCTCTCTCTCTCTCTCTCTCTCTCTTAATCAATCTAGTTAATTACTAATTACAATTTCAATTCTTTTTGTCTTTGTCTTTCTCTCTCTAACTGATCAAAATTGCCAACAAATTAATTCCAACTGATTAACAATCATCACAATTGTTATAATCTTGTAGGTGACTAGCTAATTATTTGAATTATTTTCAATTGTTTGATTAATCAGTCAAACTATTAGTTATAATTATCTCTCATGTTGATTATCAATTGAACTTAATTATTTCTTTAACTTGAAGGTAAATTAACTCATCATGATTCACACTGAGTTTCAATCAAAACCAATTAACGAATAATAATAAAATCAATGTTATTATTACCTGTTGATTATCATTCAAACATAACAATAAGATACAATTGAAGTGACAATAATCAGCTAGTTAATTAATATAAATTATATTCGATAATCAATTAATCTAATCGTCTTAATCTAAATGTTTGAAATGTTCCCATTTCCATTGTTGTTATTGTTGAAAATGAACAAGATGAAAGTTCAATTGAAATGCTGAAAACGGAAGTATATTAACAATAGAAAATTGAAACAATTTCTCTTGATTAAGATTGAATAGATTCAATGTCCGTTTCTCTTGACCATCATCATTCTCATTCTTATCTACATCATCTTGACCACTCTTGTTCCGTTCTGTAGCCTCATCCCAAAGTTATCATTTCAAATTGTTATCCTTTAGCTGACCGGTCAACGGAAACTAACTATTCCTTGGGATAAGTCATGATAAACAATGTAAACATTGTTATTCTGATTATCATGATGATTAAATTGGTTATCCTTTTGTTGATTATCCTTGTTTTTATTATACATCAATTCAATTGAATCAATTTTATTTTCCACATGATTATTAATATCTTAATTATCTTAATTACATTGTAAACAATGTAAATATATTTACTTTTTAGATTTACTTATAGCAATCAAAAGGACGATGATGATTATTATTTTTCTAAATTGTTTACAATTAAAAGAAATTAGTTTCTCTAAATTGCTGATATAAAACTCGTTTTATTATACACCATCATTAGAATTGGTTTAGAAAGTGAATTAGATTTTAATGTAATCACAATTTATCCTTTTTCCTTTTCTATTCTAATGAAATTATCTAATACAATTTAATAATAGTGATTAACAAGTAATCCAGTTAATCAACAATTGATATAAATCTTTGATTTAAGATTACATTTATGAAAATATTTCAGTTGATTGGTTTATATCTTGATTCAGAGTTTTTACCTGAATTTGAGGTTGAGGGGAAAAGGAAAAGCATCAAGATGAAGATTGTGAAGATACATGGTGATGGTGATGGTGATTTCTCTTTATCAATTTAATGATGATGGAAAAATGAAGATCTTGGAGGCAAAAAGAACTTGGGAGTTTTTCCTCATCTCTTTTTCCTTCACAAATCTGACAGAAAATAATCATCTCTCATCCTCTACCTTTCACATCACCATCATCATCCTGAAATCTTTTCTGTTAACAGTTTCTTTTCGAGTCAACATGAAGCAACAGCAACAAGAAGATGAAGAAAATTTTTCTCTCTTTTTATCTGATTCTCAAATTACTTAGCTCTTTCCATCTCTCCATCTCTCCATCTCTCCATCTCTCCATCTATCCCTCCCTTCCTCTTTCTCTCTTACTCACTCGCTCAGTCTCTTTCTCTCCTCTCTCATTTTCATCTTCTTTCAATTTCTCTCTCTCCTTATCCATTATTATCATTTTCTTCATCACCAGCTCTCTCTTCCTCCCTCGTACTCCCATCTCAATAATCCATTGTATCTTTAAACTTTCAATAATATTGATTCATTTTTGACGAGATTATTCAAATCATTCATTGAAATCTTATTGATTGATTTATTTGAGAAAAAGATCTTCACCTCTTCAGATTTTACCGTTACCTCAATACAACGACAAATAGTCGATATGATTAATAATCGAATGAGTAAAAATCATTAGAATCCTTTATGATTATACAATTAGAACATTTTTTGTTTATTCTTCTAATTCATTTTCCTACTAAATGTTATCATTTCTCTTATTAGTTTCTTTTTTGTTTCATATCATTTGCCTTGAATTTTTTTCTGTATCAGTTTTTTTATCTTTATCATGATCATTTCTTTTCTTCTCATATTTTCATCATGCTTTTTATCCTGATAGCACCAGAAGATATATATAAATATATTCCAATGCAAATACTGTTGAATTATTATCATTTTGTTTAGAAGAGAAAAAAAAAATTTCGATTTCAAATATTTAGCGAAAGAAAAACAAAAAGTTCTGATCAGAATTTTCAACATTTTCCTCTTTCTTTTTCTCACTTTCATCTAAAATTGATTATCTTTCTGTTATAATGTTAAGATAAAGTTCTAGTCTTTATCGAATATTATATCACGAACTTGATAATCAGCTTAATTCTGTGACATTTTCTTAATCATTGGCTCATTTGTTTTCATTTTCAAGTTAAATCGCATCTCCAGTTTTACTCCTTCTCGATTTAATAACACAACTTTTTCCTCACTCGTTTGGTCCTGAAAATGTTCAATCGATTATCTTGCAACATCTTCATCGTTTGTCAGACATTTAATCAACTATTATCTTCTTACAATTTTCATTTTCTCAAGTTAAATAATATTATCGTTTTTCATGAGCTTCCTGGTCATACTCATGAATAGGAACCAGAATATGAAAAAAAAAAGTTGTCATGGTCACGCAATTTCAAGTTTCTCGAGGTTATAAATTGTCAGTGATAACATTAGACTATGAATATTATAATAATCATCTTGAAACTCCCAGCAAAAAGATTCACCATGAATTCACCATGAAATTTTTGTGTCCTTGATTTGCTATATTTGAAATATTTTCCTCCCCAATTCTTATTAAAAGAAATCAAAGTTAAGACAATTAATTAATTCTTATAATATTTTTTCTCTCTCTCTTTTTTATCATTCTTCATCTCTTTACTTACCTGTCTTCTTTTTTACATATGGGCGTTAACACGAATCCACACCCATCAATATATACCTTCTCTTTGATTCCCTGTATATTATCTTCATCATCTTGAACTATTATCATGCTCATTCCATGGATTCTGGTTCTCTGGCTCTATGGTTCTCTCTATCTCTTTCTTTCTTTCTTTCTCTCTCTCTTTCTCTCTCTCTCTTGATCTATTCTATCCATTGATTGAATTAATTAGTTACCGAATGTACCGTAAATCAAATGTAACTGGTTTCCCATCATTGATAACAATATTTAGTGCACCCAATTATCTTGATGTTTACAATAACAAAGCTGCTGTCCTTAAATATGAAAATAACGTTATGAATATAAGGCAGTTTAATTGTTCACCTCATCCTTACTGGCTGCCTAATTTTATGGATGTTTTTACTTGGTCATTACCTTTTGTAGGTGAAAAGGTAACTGAAATGCTGGTCAATGTTCTCAATATTTGTTCGGATGATGAACTGATGCACGAAGGAGAAGAAAACTTTGATGCCTCAGATGAAGGTTTGTAATTGAAGATTGTGTCTTGGAAAATTGTCGATTATGAGAGAGATTAATGGTTTTGGTTTTTATTTTTTTCTTCTTTTTCTGAATAGCAAATATGGCAAGTTCTGCTCGAAAAGAGGTTATTCGTAACAAAATTCGTGCAATCGGTAAAATGGCTCGGGTATTCTCAGTTCTCCGTGAGGAATCTGAAAGTGTCCTGCAGTTGAAGGGTTTAACACCATCAGGAACATTACCTCTTGGAGCACTTTCGGAAGGAAAAGAGTCTCTTCGTCATGCTTTAGCTGGATTCTCACCACATCATAAGATCACAAGCTTCGAAGAAGCCAAAGGTCTTGACAAGATCAATGAGAGAATGCCACCTCGAAAAGAGGCTCCACCGCCACCACCTCCTGCGGCAGCAGCATCTCAAGAGCATTCAGGCCAAACTGGAAACCAGATCGGCTCACAAGCATCATCGTGATTGCATCAATAAAACAATAATGATACTGTTCTTTTCTCCCCCTGTCCCCCTGTCCCTCTTTCACTCTTTCTCTCTCTCTCTCTCTTTCGATCTTCAATGACTTCTGTCTTCTTCTCTTCTTCTCTTTTTTCTTCTTATCTCAATTGTCATGCAAAAAAATATATAAAATATATAAACAAAATTCAAAAAGGATAAACAAACAAATCAACAAAACTAATATAACCATGCAGATATTAATGATGTTACCGTTATGAAGCAATGATGAAAGTCAACAACAACCAAAAACCCTTCACCATAACACACTCATAAATATATACAACACAATTCACACTAAATACAAATTAACATTAAATCTCTCCCCTCTATCACTCTATCTTTCTCTCTCTCTCTCATCTCTCTCTCTCTCTCTCACTATCTTCACATTCTCAACACAAACATACACAAATACACAATGCGATGCTTAAGATGTTGATGGTTATATTTACAGCAAAAGAAAACAACAAAAAAATCAATTATAATGATGCTTGACTATAAATATATATACATACTGATAATAATTTACACGTTTAAACAAAGAGGAAAACAAAAAACCACCAAACTAATTGAAGATAATTAATGATTAAACCAAATGAGAATTTCAACAAATTGATGATTTAAAAACTAACCAAATAAACAAAAACAAGAAGATTTCAAGTTTAAGTGGAAATTAATCACAAGCAACATGAAAAAATTGAAACATTTTTGGGGATAAACTGAATGTGGAATATCAATTGAACCAGTTTTCATTTTCTTCCGACAAATAACAACAAATTTCTTCTTTTCTCTTTTAAATTCCTTTTCCCGCTCTTCTCTTCTTCTTCTTCTTGATATTGGAATATAATATAACAAATGAATATCGCCTCTATTTACATCCTTATACTTTCCACTCTCTTTCCTCACCCACTCTCCCTGGAAAACCCACCACATGATCCAACCTCTTACCTTTGTTATTTCTCTTTCTTTCTTCATCGTTTTCAGTGTGACTCACATATTTTTCAAAATAATTCTTTTTTTCTTCATTAGTTTATCCAATAGATTGTGTACTCATCACCTGTTATCAATTTTTCTCATGATGATTAACTTTTTTTCTCTTCCTCTTCTCACTCTCACTCTCGTCCTCTTCTCTCTTCCTCTCCCTCTCTCTCTCTCTCTTTCCACCCTGACCCACCTTCTTTATCAAGCAAAAACATAATAAAATCCTATCTGATTAAATTGACTCTCTAACCTATTTAATTGATTGTTATTGATCTTTAATATATCATCAAAATAATAGAAATTTAAAATTTTATTGAAATGTCAAGAAAAAACCGATTATCAGGATTACCTTTGGATACAATTGACATTTTCCTGATTTCCTGTTTTCGGAAAAGCAAAATTTCAAATTGTTTTTAATTTATCTTTATGAGAATACCGATAATGAGCCCTTGCCGCTGATTCCGTTCTGAAACTTTTACAACAAGTTTTACATTCTCGTTGCTGTCTCGTTAGAATCGCGTAATACTCATTCCTTGCGGTGATCACGGACAAATGTCGACCAGCGACCAGTTGAGCTTGAGCACGAGCTCTTGACATGGATGAAAGTCTCGATCGTCGGATGAATATCGGCTTAACCATTTTGACAACATTATGATGGTCATTTTTCACCCGTCTACTTATTTCAACCTGAGCAATTCTTTCACTCTCATGTAGAGATACACAATTATCCCGCTCAGTTAAAGTGAAATAAAGAGTTGAACAAATGCCGCACTTAAAAACACCATGATCACGATTATGATGATCCCTTACAATATTCAACTGATCGGAAACAAAGTAACAATCAATGTATCTACATTGGTAGATAATCGCTCCGGAGATGATTATCTTCTTGTACGTTGGTAACATTTCAATTAAAGGTGAATCAGTTTTTGGAACACAAGAAATATCAACAGAATCAGAATTAGAATCAAATTGATACAGATTATCACAAATTGTTGTTTCTCTTTCAGGTAAACACTTAGAATCATCGATCTCTTTTGAAAGCGAGCCAATTGGTTCAATTTTTTTCTCTTGATGGTCAATTGGTTTGCTCTCTTCTATGTCAACATCACTAGAGGATAAATAAACCCACCACATGATCCAACCTCTTACCTTTGTTATTTCTCTTCTTTCTTCATCGTTTTCAGTGTGACTCACATATTTTTCAAAATAATTCTTTTTTTCTTCATTAGTTTATCCAATAGATTGTGTACTCATCACCTGTTATCAATTTTTCTCATGATGATTAACTTTTTTTCTCTTCCTCTTCTCACTCTCACTCTCGTCCTCTTCTCTCTTCCTCTCCCCCTCTCTCTCTCTCTCTCTCTCTCTTTCCACCCTGACCCACCTTCTTTATCAAGCAAAAACATAATAAAATCCTATCTGATTAAATTGACTCTCTAACCTATTTAATTGATTGTTATTGATCTTTAATATATCATCAAAATAATAGAAATTTAAAATTTTATTGAAATGTCAAGAAAAAACCGATTATCAGGATTACCTTTGGATACAATTGTCATTTTCCTGATTTCCTGTTTTTGGAAAATCCAAATTTCAAATTGTTTTTAATTTATCTTTATGAGAATACCGATAATGAGCCCTTGCCGCTGATTCCGTTCTGAAACTTTTACAACAAGTTTTACATTCTCGAAGCTGTTGCTCCGTTAGAATCGCGTAATACTCATTCCTTGCGGTGATCACGGACAAATGTCGACCAGCGACCAGTTGAGCTTGAGCACGAGCTCTTGACATGGATGAAAGTCTCGATCGTCGGATGAATATCGGCTTAACCATTTTGACAACATTATGATGGTCATTTTTCACCCGTCTACTTATTTCAACCTGAGCAATTTTTCACTCTCATGTAGAGATACAAATGTCGACCAGCGACCAGTTGAGCTTGAGCACGAGCTCTTGACATGGATGAAAGTCTCGATCGTCGGATGAATATCGGCTTAACCATTTTGACAACATTATGATGGTCATTTTTCACCCGTCTACTTATTTCAACCTGAGCAATTCTTTCACTCTCATGTAGAGATACACAATTATCCCGCTCAGTTAAAGTGAAATAAAGAGTTGAACAAATGCCGCACTTAAAAACACCATGATCACGATTATGATGATCCCTTACAATATTCAACTGATCGGAAACAAAGTAACAATCAATGTATCTACATTGGTAGATAATCGCTCCGGAGATGATTATCTTCTTGTACGTTGGTAACATTTCAATTAAAGGTGAATCAGTTTTTGGAACACAAGAAATATCAACAGAATCAGAATTAGAATCAAATTGATACAGATTATCACAAATTGTTGTTTCTCTTTCAGGTAAACACTTAGAATCATCGATCTCTTTTGAAAGCGAGCCAATTGGTTCAATTTTTTTCTCTTGATGGTCAATTGGTTTGCTCTCTTCTATGTCAACATCACTAGAGGATAAATTAACTTCGTTTGTTTCGCTTGTCACATCTTCGAGTGTTATGGTCACTGGCGATGTTCGTGTAGTTGTTGATTGTTGAGGTGATAAACACGATTCAGATTTTGGAGATGAGGTTAAGGAGGGCGAAGAGGAAGAGGAGGAAGAGGAGGAAGAGGACAAAGGCCGAGAGTTCATTGTTAACTCCAATATCTCTTTGGACATTGTCAACAGTTCGTACAACGAGTAACATGATAATCTGCTGTAATCCATTTCGTTTTGTGTGAATAATCAGTTGGATATCAACAATTAACAGGGAATTCTGGAAATAACAATTTACTTCAAACAGAAAATCAGATGAACACTTTGATTGATTTTGATGAGAAGACTAAATTAAATCATAAAATTAAATGACCACTTTGATAAGGTTCATCATAATGATCTGGATTAATATCAATTTGGTTCACAATTTCAAAGTGATTGGACATTAAACTTTTATGCGGTCAGTTGAGAGTTGAAACAATTAACGTTAACATCCGAATGATGAATTAATAGTTGACCAAATTGTTACCATTAAATCATCATCACTCAAGAGCAAATTATCAACTTTTGATTAGATTATTAAGTAAATTGTGCCATCATTTTAACTACTAATAACATTTGTAACAGTGTTCTACATATCAAAATCATCGTGATTATTATGATAATCTGAATTCTATCATCAGATCAATTGACTATTCTCATCTCACTAAATATAAGTAATATTTTCATCTCTATGTACATTTGTTATCGTGATGTCAATTTGTCTATCGAGTTGAAATCTCAGTTTGATTTGTAATAATTATTACAAAATTGGAATCGTTTTGATATAATCCTCGTTTCGTTTTGTGTTGTTTTTTTGTGGATTTAAGTGGCTGGATTAAGGGGAAAGAGTATGAGGTCACTTAATCCCCGATAAGTCAATTTCGTATGTTGATTTTTTCTCAATTTTTGGAGGATTAGTAGTCGCTTGTTTATTATTATCACTATTGTGGATTATGATGACTCGATTATATTGTCGCCATTTAGAAAAAATTGAGAGATAAAGGCGAAGTTGAAAAAAAAGGAAAATGGTTCCACCTCAAGAATATCGGTGAAAATTTCATGCTAATCAGGTGAAAGATGATTTAGTTTTAATCCTCATGAAGATTCAAACAAATCGAAGATAAAATAACAACAATTGGTTTCGTAGCAATTTATGCAAATCCATTGGAAGCCAGATCAGCAATAAGTGTTTGCCACTAAAAAGTGTCTCTTGTCACCCAATGCATGGGAACTGTTGAGTTTATTGAAATCGATGATGACAAAGAAAGAAAAGAGGAAGATGATGATGATGATGATGAAGGTGATGAGGAAAAAGTTAAGTTTCCTCTAGATTGCCCCTCTGATTTAACCGATTCCCATGAGGAAGTAATCAAATGAGGCCACAAGAGTGCCCATGATGATGCAAATGTAAATGTGAGTAAATTGAAGCTAAACTTGCAACAGGGTAGATGAGCTCGTTGATGATAAACCTAATCCAAGTAATGATAGAATCATATGATCACGAAGATTGGGTAAATATCGTTCAATTGGATTGGACATTTGATAAAACCCATCGACGGACGAGTAACGACGATCTGATGGCTCAGCGGACTCTTCGTAAACACTGAACAATGTCAACAAAATGGCGATAATTGTTTGGAAAAACGTTATGGTGAAACAAAGTTTACCACGTTTCCAAATGATACTATTGACCCTCTTGGTCGATCTGTTGACCAGTTGATTGTTGTTTGACAACATTAGGCTTGACCAGTGAGAGAGACTCAATAGCAAAGGTAAAAAAAGACATGAAAATATCACAACTACTTTGAAACAAGTTCAGAAAACAAGTAATTACGATTTCCCATGAAAAGGACACAAAGATAAACATGATAATGATAAACCGGATACAATTTAATTCTCAATATCAATAACTAATTGTTGACGTTAATTGTTGTACAATTAAGCAAAATTTTCCTCAATTTAGTATATGTAATACGGTTTCCAGTTGATTTAAAACAAAGGAAACCAAATTGTCAACAATTAACCAAATCAAAACAAATCAACTAAATTGTCAACAATTAATTGTAAAAAAAACAATTGATCAACTTTGAAGTAAATTACATTTATGATTAACAACAAGACAATCAACTAATTGAAATCACCTTTGTAACAATATAAATAATCAATTAATGATTGACATTTACAACCAACCAAATTAAAAGTTTTCATTTAATCGTTGACTTAATTGTACTCATTTAATTGCAATGACCTGTGTCATTTATTTATCGGTTCAAATGTAATTAACTGATTGGAATCACCTTATAAACAACTGACAATTAACCAAAAACAAACTGTTCAATGTCATTAAATGATTGATTGTCAATTTAACCTTGAATCTGATTACTAATCTAATCAGCTGATTCAGTTTCTTCATCTTTAATTATTTAACCAGAAAACCGAATCAAATCTTAGTTCTTGATTAAATTGTCAACAATCAAATAAATTGTGGTGTTTTCTCCTTAAAGATAATTAAAACGAGATTTAAGCATTCGTTAATTGTGATTAATCTTACTGATTGCTAGTAATGAGTTAATTGTTTCTTTGAACACGACACTTAATTATGATTAAATAATCACAATTTGTGAGACCAATGAAAACAGTAAATCTATTCACAGGGTAACTAATTTCACGACAACAATTTATTTTTAATTACATAATTTAATGATTATTCACTTTAATCATGAATGACGAGCAATCAATTACCAAGATTAACCAAAGAGGATTAACTAATTGTGATTAATTTGATACACGTTTTTCTTATGATTATCAATCAATATCAAGACAAGACTTTGATCAAATTAAACCATTAGAGTCTTATAATTGTGATAATTTTATTTAATTTTGATTACATTTTCACAATTTATCTTTAATGTTGAATGATTTGTTTTTTTCTTCCCTTAACCTTGATTGTGATTAAACTGTTTGATTAAACCAAGGACTTGGAATATCATCATTAATCAACATATACAATTTATTAATTAACCAACAATCAGCTATACTTAATCAACTACTACCCTCATGGTTTCGTCAGCATAGTTAGTTAATTTCTGAGAATATAAATTGTCAAGACATTTTATTTAATCCTCACAATTAAAAGTTTCTCCTCTTGAATCACTTTAAATTCTCAATAGTTAGTTAACTAATTGTTACAATGGTTAAGGATAGTCTTGTGTTTGTTAAACCAGGTCAATTGCGACTTGATCACTACGAGAATGACGATGAACCATCTGAATCAGGTATTTAATTGTAATCAATTTAAATTGTTAACAAATAGACTTTAAATTGAGACAAAGACAACAAACAAGATTCGGATTAAATTAAGTCTTTACCTTGATTGAAATTGATTAATTTTGATCAAAATCTATTATTTGATTTGACCATTTTATTTAAGTGAACGTTAAACTTTAAATTAACTTTAGTTTTGATTGTTGATTGTTTGTCTTTGCTTTTTAATTGTTTTAGAGGTTTTAATTGATGTCGCTGCCTGTGGTATCTGTGGAAGTGACCTTCATTGGCACCTTGAAGGTAAATTGGGTCCGTTTTTGGCCAGGGACAACGCGATTATGGGACACGAAGCAAGTGGAACCGTCATCAAAGTTGGATCTAAGGTAACTCACCTTAAACCTGGTGATCGGGTTTGTGTTGAACCTTGTGAACCTTGTTGGACATGTGACCTTTGCCGAATCGGTTCAAATAATTTGTGTCATGATGCTGATAACATGTGCTGTGGTGGATTACGGAAAGGGTTCTTCAGGTCAACCAATGTTTGGCCTGCAATCTTGTGTCACAAGTGAGTTACTTGGTTGATTGGTCGGTTGAATTAATTTCAACTTTGGAAAAAAATTTTATTTTGTCCAACAGATTAGCCGACAATATGACCCTTCAAGAAGGTGCCGTCGTTGAACCAGTGGCCTGTGCTGTTTGGGGTGTTCGAAGAACCAAACTCGAAGGCAACGAGAAAATTTTGATCACCGGTTCAGGACCAATCGGTTTATTAACCATGATGGTAGTTAAGGCCTTTGGTTCGGGTAAAATTTGTATCACCGATGTTAATGAGACACGATTATCGATCGCTAAGAAACTTGGTGTTGATTATTCACTTCTAGTTGATCCTAAATTAAGTCCAACCGAAATCGCTGCAAAAGTTAATGAAATCATGGGCGGACCACCGGATGTTGCCATTGATTGTACCGGAATTGGTTCTTGTATTAACACTGGTATTTATGCTGTTCGTCGAGGTGGAAAGGTCACTTTAATGGGACTCTCATCTCATTCCGTTCAAGCTGATTTAAGTACAGCATCACTACGAGAAGTTGATTTAATTGCTGTTGCTCGTTACAACAATACGTAAGTACTATTCACATGTACATATGAATTGACATGAAATTAATTGTTATTTTCATCTTAATTGAATTGAACAGATTCCCAACTGCAATTGATTTAATTTCATCTGGTAGAGTTCCTGTTAAATCATTGATCAGCCATGTAATTAAACTTGATGATTATCAACAAGCCTTTGACACTTTACTTCAAGGCAAAGGAGTTAAAGTTTTACTTGTAACTAAATAATTAACTTAAATCCAGTTCCTAGTCCAAACAATTAACCTATTGATTGATTGAATAGAGATAATAATCTTAATCATTTTCACTTCAAATGTACTGAAATTTAATCATTTTAAACAATTAAACAATCGTCGACTTTGAATTGGTTATTAACAAACTCTAGTTGATTAGTTAAGCCCCACAACACAATTTATCAGTAATTAAAGTTAATCAAAAGTCTCTATGAGATTATTAAAATTAACAAATCAAACAAATTGTATCACAATTAACTCATTATGATCAATAAATGATGACAATTTTTTCAAGTTAACTAAATCATTTAGTACACAATATGAATTGGAAAGTTAATTTGAACTGATTAACTTTCTAATCAAATAAGGAAAGACAGAAAATTGAGTTAATTGTTACAATGATTAACTAACTATCAAGGAAAACTAATTGTAATTTTACAACTAGATTCAGCTGGTTACTAATTGTTGAATATTAATCACAATCAGATGAAAATCTATCAGTATTAATAAAAATTAAAGACAATCAATTTAATCATAAACCATAAATAGTTTTTAATTGCTCACACCTCCAATGATTATAAATCTAATACATGGTAACTAAATCAACCACACACCTTTTTAATTGTTTAATAAATAATATATTGATTCATTGATTATCCTTTTATTGTGATTGATTTAATTAGCTGATGTTTATAATGATAACAATTAACTTCCCTTTTGGTTTCTCAATCTTACAATTTGTCATTGTTTAATTGTAAAGATTTAATATAAACACAATCAAATTAATCAACAGTTAGAAAGTCAAATAGTCACCACACCTACTTAATTATCAACAATCAACAAATAATATTGATAATTTAATTGCAATTAACTCACCAACAAACTGTAACAATTAGTCAATCTCATCATGTTGAGGTAACTTCCATCATTAGTTTCACAATTAAATTAGATGGAAAATAATCAACTATTGATCGTGTTAATTGTAATTAATTAAATGAACTAAATCACGTGTAAATTTAACAATTTACAGTCGAAGTGAAAAAAGTAATTAAATCTTAGATTATGATCATGATTAATTGTGATTAATTTGATTTGGATAAAAGTGAAATCAGAACATGAAACATAAAAAAAATATTATTCATTATTAACTAATTGTTGATCAATGATTATCAGAGTAACATAAAAATGTCAATCAAATTAACTTTCACCAACAGTTACAATTAGTCTGTTCATCACAATTAACTTGTGAATAAAGATCATCACTTTCCTAATTTAATTGTGATACAAAATTTTACATTGATAATGTTATTTTCAACTCAACAATTAACCACAACAATTGTGTTAACAATATTATCAATTATTGGAAATTATTTTCTAATTGTTAAAGGGCAACAATTAACTTCACCATCAGAATTGAAACTCAAATTAGTGGCCATTGTCCATCGACATGGTGACCGATCACCTTTATTTTTCCTACCTGGTGATCCGTTTGCCGATGACATTTATTGGCCTGATGGTAAATCGCAATTACTTGCAACAGGTAAAAATCGTCTTTTCCAATTAGGTGAATCACTACGATCTTATTATGGTCACTTTTTGACGGACAATCCCGTGAGGTTCAGTCTTATAGTTCGGATGCCAATCGGTGCCTCGAATCAACTTCATTACTGTTACATGGTCTTTACAAAGCCTCAGGGCGTTGGAAGTACAATGATCGGACTAATTATCTGCCAATTCCAATTCATACTACACCCAAAAGTCATGATAGGGTAAGTTGATCATTGAAAAAAGCTTTACAATTTAGTTAATTGTGTTATTTTCTTTCAATAGATGTTAGTTGAAGGTGTTAATTGTCCAACTTTAAACAAGGAATTACAATCAGTCCTTGATCGACCAGAGGCTAAATCCTTTCTAACCAGTTATTCATCGACAATCAATGAGATCTCATCGCAATTAGGGATTCCAATCAATGATTTAGGTTCAATTCTGGGTCTTTATGATGTTTGGAGCATTGAGAAATCAGTTAATTACAGTTTACCCTCTTGGTTAACTGATCCAATGATGTCTGATTTAGAGTCAATGGTTGATTTATATTCAACCATTCAAAATGATTCACCAATAATCCATCGCCTTAGGGCAGGTAATTTTTTCAAAAACCTGAAACAATACCTAATTGATGCAATTTACCAGCAATCAACTGACCAATTACCTAAATTGTTAACATACTCAACTCACGATACAATGTTGGGATCATTTATGTCTGCATTGAAAGTATTCAATGGACGACGAGTGCCTTATGGTGCATCCTTGTTGATTGAATTGTTGGCTAATCCAGTTAATCAGAAAGAAAACTATATCACAATTAAGTATTGGAATGAGACTTATGTTAATACTCAGCATCAATTAAGTTTACCTTTCTGTTCATCTGGTCAATTGTGTCCATTGGATCAATTTTTAAATTACATTGAACAATTTATCCCAATCAACTGGGAATCCGAATGTGGATTTGATCAAAGTCAACCCGAGAAATCAACAGTCAATCAAGTTAATCAAGAAGAGGATAAAGCTTGGAAAATCATTGGAATCGTAACTGTTACCTGTTTATCAACAATTACCTTAATTATTTGCTTCCTTTTTGTTTCCTTTGTTTACAATTTATACAGAAAATCAACTCACTTAAATAGTGATTCAAATAGATCTGATCGAGAGAAACAAGAATATGATAGAATATTGTAAAGTTTCATCCTAATTGCTATTGTAATTACTTTGTAAATAGTAGACAATCATCATCATCGTCTTGTCCAGTTTTCTTTTCCTGGAGACTTTTTTACGATACAATCAAGTTCTAAAGTAATTAAATGTTGTAAATCGCAATTCTAATGGAAACGATGCATTTTGTGTGAATACTTTCGAGTCTTAAACCAGCTTAAAGCTGTTGAGAATTAACCAGTTGATTGAGCTTAAAGATCACTAATCCTAAGAACTGGAGACAAAGAAATAAGTAAAGTATAGTTCAGTCCATTAGTCGATGTCCATTTGAAGAAGAGCCAAAGTCCGACACTTTGAAGCTCCATTTCTTGTTTGTTATTGTGAACATCAGTTGAATTTTTCCCATCGCCATGGAACCAGAAAATGAACTGAACAATTCAATGATCCAAAGTTTAGGTGAATGTTTCTGTAAATTTGGAAGCTGCAATGTAACAACCGGAAGGTGCGATTGTCTCATGGGTTTTACTGGAATCAATTGCCAATCTCCATGTGAAATCGGATTCTATGGTCATCAGTGTATTAATCTATGTTACTGTCCAATAGAAAAGTGTGACAATCAATATGGATGTTCATTTGATTCCTCATCCTACCAACACGATGAAAATACCGCCAATATGATTGGTCCAGCATTCATTTTATCCACCATGATATTCACCATAATGATTATCTTTATAATTTTACATAAAATCCGAAAATATGAAAAAATGATTCACCAGAGAGATGAAAACTACAATGGACAACCAAACATTCACTTCAATCCAATGGAAACCATTGAATTTGATACTTGTCACCATCAACAATTTTGACAATCAACACAAAACAACAACAACAACAATTAAACACCAAGGACCATCCGAATCCAATATAAGGAGCCAAACAATCAACAACAACAACCTAATCCATTTAGTCCCAGAAAATAATGTGACAGGTTCACTTTTGTCACCTAGAAAAGGATTTGAATGGTCACTAATTGTGAAAGAAAAAGATCAAATTAAAATTAAGATTATTGTGATTCTTATTTTCATCTTTAAGTACATTAAGTTTTGTCAATTAGTTAATTTAAATATATGAATTAATAGTTATCGAGATGTCCTTTTGTCAATCGAGTCGAAATCTCAGTTTGATTTGTAATTATTACAAAATTGGAATCGTTTTGATATAATCCTCGTTTCGTTTTATGTTGTTTTTTTGTGGATTTAAGTGGCCGGATTAAGGGGAAAGAGTATGAGGTCACTTAATCCCCGATAAGTCAATTTCGTATGTTGATTTTTTCTCAATTTTTGGAGGATTAGTAGTCGCTTGTTTATTATTATCACTATTGTGGATTATGATGACTCGATTATATTGTCGCCATTTAGAAAAAATTGAGAGATAAAGGCGAAGTTGAACAAAAAGGAAAATGGTTCCACCAAGAAAACCAATAGAAACGACCTGTTGGATTAATAATAGAAATAAAGAAAATCAATTAATCTACCGGATTAAATCGTTAAATCCAACAACAACAACAACAAAGTGCAACAATAATAATAGAAGGGGAAAAAAAGTTCTAATCTTGAAAGCGAAAAGTTTTCGTCAACATAAGACAATCATCAACCGATTTACATGTTAATTGTTGACAATTGTACAATTTGGTGTCTTGATGTTGATACCTGGAAAGGTGAGATATCAAGAAACGGAAATAAGATGAATGAAAGAGCACAAATTGTCAGTTCTATTAACGGGAATTACGGTTGGTGAATCAGAAAGATTTACGTTCATGGTAAAAGGATATCGGTGAAAATTTCATGTTAATCAGGTAAAAGATTAACTAATTTAATTTTAACCCTCATGAAGATTCAAACACAACTAAGATAAAATAACAACAACAACAACAAATTGTTCCGGTTATTTGATCAGTAAAATTAAATTGCTTGGTCTATATATATATCACACTAATTAGCAATTAAACCATGAAATTGATTGTGACAAAAGCAAAAAAAAAGCAAAACTGGTTGACAATTATTATTACATAAACAATATTATGTGTGTAGTAGTATTAGTTTGAGATAAACAATTAGCAAACAATTAACATGCAGTTTTTACAATTAACTGTCTTCTTTTGTTTAATGTATTGAACATTAATAAGAATTCATTGAATCCATAATTGAGATTTTCCTTTAACAATTAATATTAGTAATACATGTACGTTGATTATCAAACAAATCACTTTCTTTTCAAGGTATAATCATAATTGTTGCCTGATTGTTTACAAATTTATCCTTAATTAATTGTAATTGTAACAATTTCCTGTAGCAATTAACAATAAGGAAAAACGAGGAAACCCTTTGTTGGGTCACAATTAACATGGAGATGATCATATTGGTTAATAGAGATGAAGGAAAAAAAAATTGTTCATCAATCATAATAAGGGTGAAGGAAATTAATATTAAATGATCAATTATCTTAATTAACTGTTGAAGATGCTAATTAATTTGTCTTGATTATCAAACTAATTTTGTTCTAATTGAATTTTCTATCAAGTTATTAGAAGAAGAAGAAGAAGAAGGAAAATATTATCTTCTATTCCTTTCGTTGTTCATTTCCTCTGAATTGGGTTCATTTTCGTAGACACTTTGAAAGGTATCTTCATGTTCACTGGACAACACCCAATAGAGTCCATCTTGAAATAGATCAATTTTATCGGGTGGATCGAAAACAGGTTGAATTAATATGATTCCAGCAATGAGACCAGTTATTATTGAGATTAGAAGGATGAAAATGAGTCCAGTTAATTGGTAGAATGCTTGAGAATGAGCAGAACGACCAATACCTGCTTGGATTCGGTGTAAATTTACCTGAATCTCTTCAAGATCTTTTGAATTCTCGGGTGGAGCTCGAGCAGGAAAAAGTTCATACAAATTTAGATCATATGATTTCTCATTAGCCATATATGCAAATCCACTGGAAGCCAGACCAGCAATAACCGCAGGTAAACCATAAGTTGCATGCATGGAAAGTGTATCATGAATACGGAAACGATTAAGTAAATAGGGATTCAGATAAATGTGAGTTATTATTGATAAACCTCCGATCATCATTCCTGAAATGAATGCTGTATATGGATAGAGTATGTATTGACCAATGATGGACATTAAAACACCTCCAGAAGAAGATCCTATTCTTATATGTCGAACTGAGAATCGATCTTGTTCATCTAAAAGTGATGATATTGAAAATGCCGATAAACATGAGGCCGTTACCGAGATCCAAGTGTTTACCGCTAAACGGTGTTTCTTGTCACCCAATGAATAGGAACTTGTCATCGAGGGAAAAGTTAAATAGATGAAAATTGTTCCTAAAAGTACCGACATCTCCCTATCCGAGTTGTAATTTTGATTCTTACGGTGGGTTGATTGAATATTCCGACAGATTATACATGAGACACTTAATCCAAAGTAAATGGAAAAGGTATAAATAGTTAATCCATTTGATTCATCTGATACCTGCCAAGAGGATAAAACATATCCGGTAAGTGACATTATTGGAACCTCGATAACTGCCAAAATTATACATTGTATTGGACTTAATTTACCCTGAAGGCTTCCAAGTGATAGGGTGACACCTAAACCATAATGAGCTGACCTTAGAATTGAATTGATTCCTAAGGTTATATGGAATGATTGTCGAATTGATAATTTAACGGTTGGTTTAATTTTTTTTCGATCTAAATCAGATAAATAATCATCACAGGATAAATTAGATTTAACTTGAAGATCATGAGAAGGCGATGAAATTACATAAACTGTTGAATTTACTGGAATCGATGAGGAGGAAGACGAAAATGGTGATGACGAAGAAGAAAAAGATGAAGAAGATGATGATGCTGATAATGATGATGAAGGTGATGAGGAAAAAGTTAAGTTTCCTCTAGATTGCCCCTCTGATTTAACCGATTCCCATGAGGAAGTAATCAAATGAGGCCACAAGAGTGCCCATGATGATGCAAATGTAAATGTAAGTAAATTGAAGCCTAAACTTGCTAACAGGGTGGCAGATGAGCTCGTTGATGATAAACCTAATCCAAGTAATGATAGAATCATATGATCACGAAGATTGGGTAAATATCGTTCAATTGGATTGGACATTTGATAAAACCCATCGACGGACGAGTAACGACGATCTGAGGGCTCAGCGGACTCTTCGTAAACACTGAACAATGTCAACAAAATGGCGATAATTGTTTGGAAAAACGTTATGGTGAAACAAAGTTTACCACGTTTCCAAATGATACTATTGACCCTCCTGGTCGATCTGTTGACCAGTTGATTGTTGTTTGACAACATTAGGCTTGACCAGTGAGAGAGACTCAATAGCAAAGGTAAAAAAAGACATGAAAATATCACAACTACTTTGAAACAAGTTCACCAAACAAGTAATTACAATTTCCCATGAAAAGGACACAAAGATAAACATGATAATGATAAACCGGATACAATTTAATTCTCAATATCAATAACTAATTGTTGACGTTAATTGTTGTACAATTAAGCAAAATTTTCCTCAATTTTGTATATGTAATACGATTTCCAGTTGATTTAAAACAAAGGAAACCAAATTGTCAACAATTAACTTTTGATTGAATCATTTCTTACATCTCAATGATAATTAATATTATTGATTATCTAATTGATTAAATCATGTTTTCGGATTTAACTGTCACGTTGATTTGTTGTATGTTATAATTGTGCCGATAAATCAATCAATTAAATTGTGAACAATTAAATTAATTGTTAATAGGAAAATAACCACAACAATTGATCAAAGTTTTCCAATCAATGTGATTAACTTTCAAGTATATTTGATTAACAACCAGACAATTAATTACTAGTAATTAACAAGCCAATTGAAACTACAACAAGAGTAAAAAAGTTTAATTAACTTGAGTGTGAATTAAGTGTTTGAAAGGTTAACAGTTATTAACAATTAATGTTAATGAACTTGAGAAAAAAAAATTGATTAAGGATTAAGATTATAAATAAAGATAATCAAATGGTAAAACAAAAACAGTAAATCTGATTAATTAATGCAATTGATTAACCTTCAAAGGCGATGAGTTTAACAACAATTAAACTTGATTTGATTTGATAGATTTGTGGTCATTGATTAATATTGTTTAAGTTGAACAACTTGATTATCCAATTAGCTAATAATAGTTAGATTTAATCACCTTTGATCATGAAATGATTGCTAACCAAGAAAGTTACTATAACATGAGAGATTAACGATTAATCAACAAGAGAGATGATTAAATTGTTCACGCCACAATTAAATCTAACAATCAAGTTAAAGTAAAAATCTCACTCAATCCTAAGATTGACGTTGTATTAAGTATATTACATAAGAGTGAGAAATAAAATCCTAAATCCTTGGCCTGAATTCAGTTATCATCATCATGATGGTGATGAATGAATGAAATATAACAACAAATTTAATTTAACAACAAGTTTGGGTTGATTAGTTATTGAATTTAATTCAATATAAAGACAATAATGAGAGGGGGTGGATGATTACTATCAATAGGATAAGCCCGATAACCATGAAAACTTGGCGATCAGAATGAAAACTCATGAACCATAATAATAACAACATGAAATCAGTTTGAGATTTGATAATAATAAGGTAACACAGAATCTGAATTCAACTGTTTCAGGGTAAAAATATAATAATAATATTGATGATATTTGACAATCGCGAGGGCGTTAAGGTGTATTATCAATGTCTATTTATCCAGGTAATTGGGATCAGGTTAATCTGAATATTGTTTATCTTATCACCAAACCCTTAACCTGTTAATTAGATTTCATTAAATCATTAACCTCGTAATTATTATCGGTGAACAAGGTCCATGGTAACTAATAGAAAATCAATCAACTAATAAAAACGGTAAAAATTATCAAAAGTAAATCAAGAATATCTAAAAATAGAGATCAAGATAATCAGTTGATGAAAAAATATGAGAAATTATCATTGTCTTGTAATAATAATAACAAGAAAGATTATCAGATTAAGAGATTATCAGATTAAATGAAATAAACTTGTCTCAACTTATATATAATAAGTTTCTTATTAACTGTCCTGGTTAATGTGTCCATTTAGTTTATTGTTATTATCATGTTGATGGAAATGACAATCAACGTTAACAACAATATAAAGTTATCATCAACTTCCGCAATTTAAATTGTTGATTATCTTTTGATACTTTATTTATATTTTTGTCAACAGAAAATAAAATAATCATAATATGAGACAATTTAACTCAATTGTTACAATAAAATGAGTAAAAAACATCATCATCATCATCACGCATCAATTGTCATCTTCATTCATCAACTTTAAATTACTTTCATGTCAAAGGATTAACAAGAGAAACGTCAAGTTAATTAAAATACAATTAAGATTAAATTGTTATCATTATGATGATAGAAAATTTAATCTTTATTTATAATCAATATGAGAAGAGATAAACAATTTAGAAACAAGATTAATGATCAACCGTTGAAATTATTAGCAACAAAAAGTTCTGAATCAATACAATTAAACAGACTAATCGTTTTTCAGGCTCACAAATTTACCTCAACAATTTAATTAATCAAGTTAATCATATGGAAAATATTAATTCTCAAGATAATCAAATTTTTACAATCAACTTTTGTCAATTGTTTTGCTTTCATGTTTCTGATCAAATATTAAAGTTGATCATTAATTTCAGTTGATTGAAAAGTTTCAAGAAAATTTCAACTGATTAATGTCAATCACAAATCCGATACCATGACAATCATCATGAAATAAACAATGAAAAAAAATAAGGTAAATGAAATTTTCATCAATGAAAATCAAATTCCATCAATATAACTGTTTAAATGATGATGATGACCTGTCGATGACTTGATTTAAAGGCTGATAAAGATGATTATCGATAAACAATCAATAGATTTTGTTAATCTCGTTCAATATAAACGATTATGTTTTCCAAAATAGTAACAATTGTTTAATAATAACAAATGATAAGAATTAGTGGCGATTAAAATTCAATTGGATAACTTGATCATCTTGATCGTTAGCCTTAATTTTTTTTTTCCTCCTCATCATTATCTTAATTTGAACAATCATATTGATGATAATACATAAAAGACACCAATGTAATAACTCAGGTAAACCCGGAACCAGTATGAAAATAAAGGTAACTGACATGCTACTGTTACTACAGAATTGAATAACTTGCTCAACAGGTTAGTTAAACATAACGGGAATATCACCAAGTCCCGATAACAGGGCCATTCGGCCAATGGGCAGAAACTTTTCCAGGTAAACACAAAACAACAAATCCTCCTCTCACAAGGTACAATTAGAGGAAACATGAGAGGCAATCAAGTGAACAGGTAAACAATTTAGTTACCATTTAAATAGATTCTGTCTGAATCTCAAAGATTTAGATTAATCCTCAAGTTTATTTACCTTTGTGGTGAAGGAAAAAAAAAATATTATATTTATAACTTTGAATTTACATTTGACTTGAACTAATTTATGATTTAAGTTAATTGTTTCAATACATTATGATTATTCAATTGATTGAAAAATAATTTTCACCATCTCAAATAGTTAATCACAATTGGTTAATTTAATTTAATGATGATCATCATTAACAAATCAACTGTTAAATGTATGTCAATCACACACACACACACCAAGCAAATATAATTAAATTTCTGGTTAATAATTAATATTGATTAGTTGAAAGCTCAACAACAACAAGGTGATTGAAGGACTTTGGTAATTAAGTGTTATTATTATTATTATTATTACTGTTGTTGTTGGTGTAATTTCAATTGGTCAACCTTGGACTGACCATCAGAATTTTTTTTCTCATATATTACTTACAAGCATTTTGGTCCAAAAAGGCCAATCGAGAAGACCAAATTTCGCTTCGTATGTCGCTCTCTCAATCAGAACATAAATTGACCAGAAAACACAAAACATTGAAATCAAATTAAACAGCAAATTGTATAACAATTTACGTCGTTCACTGTTGGTCATCTCAAGTCGTTCCCACTGAGATGGACAAATGATGAAATAAGAAGGATAAGAAAAAAAAAAAATAATAATAACATTAGACAAGAAAATTTGCATATTGATTGATTATTATTCTATTGAGTTTTGGTGTGAAAATTTCTCAATCAATGGTCAACTGATTATTAGCTAATTAACTTGTATTTACCTTGTGAATGGGCTTAAATTTGATGGACATTTTAAAATGATATTTACAAAGTTCACAGTATTTATTATTTGATGATCTAATCCATTGTTGAAGGCAATAATGATGAACATATTTTAATGAACCTGAGCAACAACAGGGTGTAATTAAGTCCATATCAGATGATGATGAAGATGAGGATGAGGATGAGGATGATGAGAAAGTCGAAAGCACTTCATTTAGTCCACAATGACAGATTCGACAAATTGGTAGATCAAGTTGGTAATTGTTTATTGAATAATTATCTACAATAGAGATTGATGTTGTTTCATCAGGCATCATTAATAAATATGTATAAGTTAATTGTTACAATTAAGTCTTTTTATTATAATCCATTGACTTTAATCAATGAGAGAGGATGAAAAGACACAGAGAGAAAACCATTCGAATAACGGTAAAAAAATTAATAATAACTGTCAATGGTAAAGTAGATTGTTATTCTTATGTAACAGGATCAACAACAACAATCACAACACTGAATGAAACTGAATAACCGATAACTTGGTTATTCATAATGATGAATGAAAACCTGAATATCTGGTTTTCTGGATTCTCATGGATCTGAATCTTTTACCTGATACACATTCAGGTTAATACAATTTTATTTTCATTCCAAAGGTCAACTCTTGTTATTTTTACTCTCAATCAATTGGAAATTTGCTTCATTACGATTGATTGTTGAGTTTTTTTTCTACTATCGGTTATCAAAAGCTCTTTGGTAATTAATGATTAAGTAAATTGTTTAGGTTTGTTGTTTGTTTTCTCAAACCAGATTAGTTTTGTTACTTTCAAGAGATGGCGACACCAGTTAGAACAAAATTTTTCCTCGATTTTATTTTCTCTGATCACAATTATATAATCAAATGATTAACCAATTAATTTAGGGAACTGATCAAGTTATTTGATTAAAATAGCAGTTATCAATTGGATGATATCCGATAAAGTTAAAAGATGATTGATCTGGACAGTGAAAATCAAAATTGATTGATCATAAATTGCTAATTAATTAGTTGATTAAATTTTGCAGCAACAATTAAATTAAGATGAGAAACTGGTGATAAGCCTGAATACTTATATAATAAGTATTACAATTTAACCGTTTGGTTATTTTCTGTTTACTTACTATTAACTGGGTTAACCAAATTAACCTTTCCAATGGTAAATAAAGTGACAATTAGCCTGTTCAAACAATTAAAAGGTAATTAAACTTTTCAATTAATAACAAAAAAAATCGGTTCAATAACCAGAAAATTCAAATTGATCCATTGATTTATCATCAAATTAAGGGAAATGATGTCCAGTCACTTTCAACAGGTAAAATTTTAATGATTCAAACTGACCATTGGTGATTAGATTGCTAATAATTAAACTTAATTGCCTCTTGATTATTCAATTAACTTAAACTCTATCAACACTAATCAACATTAATCTTGCTCTTCCTCTTCTTAATTTTCCCTCATCATTGATTTTCCTGTTTAACTTCCGATCTGATATTCTTCCCATCAATATATCCAATAATACTTGGAGAAGATGATTAACTAATTGTTCATGATTAATCATCAATATATGGCAACATATTTTCAAACAATCAACTAATACAAATGGAAATCTATACAACATGAAAAACAAAGAGGAAATAATTAAATCCAGTAGGATTAAATTCACATACACAGCGCAATTAAAAACATCTAAACATTAGAAACAATTAACTAAATGATTATGAATAAATGTACTTACAAATCTGTGATTAAAATGATTAAAATTGATCAACTTGTGTTAATTATTTTCTTAGTATTTTTTACCCAATTGATTAACTGTTTTCCCTCATCACCAACAGAATTGGAATCAATTCAATTCTGTCCACCAAATTGGAAGTTCATTAAATCAAGTTATAAGTGTATTTATTTTGATCGAACTCAAAAAGGAAATTTCGAGGAAAACGAAAAGTTCTGTAGGTCCGAAAATTTGAACAGTTCAATGTTGGTTATCGATTCATCCGATGAGTCGGAACAAGTGAACAAATTGATTAGAGACTCATCGATCAGCCGATGTTGGCTTGGTGGTAAAACTATTCAGTCCCATGGAGGAGGAAAACAGGCCAATCTTACAATTGTATGGTCACCAAGAAAGATGACCAATTACACTAATTGGGCACCAAAATCACCTAATTGTTTATCATCACCATTTTGTTGTGTTACGATCAATTCCAGATCATGGTGGACTGATATTAATTGTCAAGCAAATGCCGTCATGATTTGTGAAAAAAGTGCCATCAAATCAACTCGAAGTGAAATCGTTTCATATTTTACTCAATTGTTGCAACAAATTGATTCATCTAATTACAGTGAGATAATTAATTCAAATTTAACTGAAATTGTCCCGAAAACTGCTGAATACGATTCATCATCATCTCCATTCAATTCAATGGTTTTAATTGCTGAAATTCAACAAAGTGAGTATTCAACCAGAATCAATAATTTAGATTCATTTATTTACCATGACATTGATAACTTTTAGTCCATAACCTTTAGTTGACAATTAACTGATGATGACTTAATTTCAACAATCAATCAATCATCACAATAATAATAATAGTTTTTTAATTGTCCAACTCTTAAAAAATTAGCCATGTAAATAGATTGGCAACAATTAAAACAACACTTTGAATCTTTTAATTATATTAAACAGCTACTGATTTGATTTGATTTTTTTTTCTTCTTTCTTGTAACAATTTAGAGCAATTGGAAATGATTAAATTCATAGTGTTTTTAATCAATGATCTTAACAATTTAATCCAATCCCGAAATCAAGATGAACCAATCAATTCAACTACTGATTCAATCATATCCCAACTAAACGATCAACTTAAACAATCAATTTTTGGTACAGAGATTTGGTTGATTGTAGCTGTAATTGGTTTAACAGTAATTGTGATAATAATCGTGTTGATTAAGATAATTAAATGTTATCACAATCGATCAGCCAAAAAACGTAGACCTGAACAACTTTTGCCCAACTCAGTCCAATGGCCCTGTCATCAAAATGATTCAGCTTATGGATTTCAATTAGATTAATTAAAAATATCAACAAAATAAAGATACAAATCAACAATTATCCATTAATATTATCTCAACATTGGAGATGCTTTTAGCTTATTAAAGATAAATATTAATAGCGACAAATAATGAGTCTAATTGTTGAGATGTTTAATCGTAACAATTAATTGTAATTTAACACGAATCTTGTTTAGCATCAAAAGAGAGAGAGAGAGAGAGAGAGAGAGAGAGAGATTGTCAATATTGAGAGAGACTTTGTTTGCGTTTTCCAAATAATAGAATTGCAATTGATTCCAAAGAAAATAAATTGTTACAATTAAGGAAATAATAATCATCAGCGTCATCTGATTAATCATCCGCATCATTATCATGATAATAACTAATAAAAACCACCGATTGAGATGAACCAAATCAACTGGATGAACCCAATGGATGATAATTAATTTAAATATTAATTTACTGATTGGGTGGAGCAATTTACTTATCTCTCTCTCTCTCTCTCTCTTTCTCTCTCAATGTATTTAATTATTACCATGATAATAATAAGAAATATATGATAATTAAAATGCTACTGAATAAATTGTAATTCATTTGTAATCCAAATAAAAATGAATATTTGAAAAAAAGGGATAATCAACAATGAGAAATGTTAATCTACATGACAATTAGTTTAATAATGAGTTATTGTCATTACAATTAACTTAATCGATTAGAATTTCTTTCTGTGTTTATAATACATGTTGATTCATTTGATGATAATACACGGGAAAAGTAAAATTGATTTAATTGTGTTTCCATATTTACGTTTATCCTCCTAATGGTTTAAAAAGGAAATGATCACAATCAATGATTCTATGATTATGATTGTTGATTTAATCAACTTTTATAATCAATTGATTTTTATAGTAAATCATTTCACCAACGGTTAAAATCAGTAAAAAAGACAATATTAACAATTTAAATTTCTTTACATTTCAATTGATCAGTTAATTGTTTTCTCAGTGTTGATATTTTTTCCTTAACTTTGTGAACATTTAAATTTTCATGAGATGATGATGCCAGTTAATAGAGTGAGACTCGAGGATAAGGATGATGATGATAAAGAAAGAGAAAGTTAAAGATGAGGAAGATAAATGATGATGATGATGATGATGAGGGAGAGCTGAGGGCAGATGGATTAACCAACATATGGATATTTGAATTAAATACCTTGCATCATATTAGTGATATAAGTGGTTGGTAGTTGGATAATCATGATTAAATCAACATTGGTATTAACAATCAGGAAAATTGTGATAACAATCAGGACAAAATTGATTGTCAACAATCAAAATTGTTTATTGAGTGGTTACTTTAATCATTTGGGTTACCAGTTGAAACCAAAATCCGTTGGTAAAAAAAGTGTAATAATAATAATCATTGGATTAGCTTAATAATCAGTGAAACTATTTAGATTATCTCATATCTTAAATTTAGTTAATCGTATTGAGCAATTAAATTTGTATTATTATTGATCCTTGTTCAAGTCACAATTTAGTTTAATTGTAGTATCAACTACAATTAGTAAGGATAAATTGTTGTTGATTTGAATACTTTCACTTAGATAATCACAAATTCAAGTATCATGACTTTTCATTGATAAATTGTCGTTATGGTTGATTGTTGCTGGTGAAATTGTTTCAGCTAAATTGTTATTTTAACTGTTACTTTGTCAACAATTTAATGTTGATATTATATCATATCTATATGGGAAAATATATACATATGATAATGATGATAAATGATGATAGGATGATAAAAAAAAATGCTCTGTAAATATTTATAAGGTATCGAGACTTTAACTGGGAGTTATTATTATTATATTACTTTTAAATTTAATCTCAACGCTTAAATTGTTGTAACAATTATGCTTGAAGCGATTGATTCAATTAAACTGTTACAAATAATTAGACAGTTAATAAATCAACAGGTTAATCAAAATTGAATCAACAAATCAATCATGAAATGATTATAAATATTATGATATTACAATTTATTTCATCAGGGAAACAATTAGTTGATTGATTGAGTTTAAAATTGATGATTAAATCTTGTGAAATATATATTATAGTAAATGTTAATTGTTTGTCCGCTAGTTTATGATAAATTATTGTAAATTAATAAACAATTAATAGGATAGAATCAAGAAAATACTTATAATTCATATTGACGATTGAATAATTTAAAAAATGAAAACAAAGGTAAAAATGTGAAAATATTGATTACATGTGATTATATTTCATTATTATACTTTCTGAATAGCAATTTATGTTATCTAGATGATGGTTTAATGATGATGATGATGATGATTGTGAATGAATTGTTTGCAAAATTTTTTGCGTAATTTTCATACCCACCCCACCCACTTTCACCCACCCAGAGTATTTTATATTAAATATAATGTGAATTATGTGAACATGTAGTAATAATATCAATCGATAATAATAGTTTTTTCCTCTTTTCCAAAGAGAGAATTTTTTTTCTCTTCATCTTCTGGACAGGTAACCCAATGATAAAAGAAATACAG